TCCAGGTACAATGCAACAGCCTTCTCCTCTTATTTGTATGTGTGTGTATCTATATCTATATCTATATATCTCTTGCATTATCTCATTGTCAGTTCATCACTTCATTCCAAGAACACTGGAAACTGAATTAATACTGGTACTTCTCTATTTGTGAATGCACATCCATACTAATATTAGTCTCCAGAACTATGCCTTGTGTATCCAGATATGAATTCATGCTACCACCTCCAATACAACTGTAGCAACATTCAACAAATAAACTGCTTTTGTAACATAACTTGCATAATAGCAAACTGGCATAATACTATAATAAATGGACAAATTAAAATCCTCATTCACTCTGGCATAGTACACTCATTCAGCCATTCAATGAATGAAAACAAAATTCCACATTCACTCAATCCACCTATCCCAGATGCTTGAGAAGAGAAGTAGGAGAGAACAAGACCCAAGATTCAAGAGAGTGGTGGAAGGAAGAAAATTGTTTGCTTTACCCAAAGGGTTCCACTCAACTCCATCCTTGCTGGCAAAGGTGTTTTGAGACCAAAAAGAAGTTTGGCATTAAAGCTTTCCCTTTCCCCAGGAAATTAAATGACAGTATTAGGAAGTCCTGTGTAACACATAGTCAGAAGCTGTGCCAAGGCAGGAAGGAGATGTGGCCTAAGGGCACAGTTAGGAGGCTCAAGGTCTCTTCTAGTACTGACTCATGATGTGCCCTTCTGTCAACCAATCTCTACAAGTATTGTGAACTGCACTTAAATGAAATGGTTTCAGCGATTCCAGAACATGCATTGGTTCTATCAATTTACAAATAAAATATTTGTACAAATCAAAACCTTAATAAAAAAAATTAGTATTACCTTTATATCCTTGCTCAGTCTCCCTGAGATCAATTTTAGCTATTGGCTTGAAATCAATATCCCACAGTCGAATGCAGCCATCTCTCCCACCAGTTGCAAAACCTTCTTCACATCCATACATACTAAAAATTCCAGCCTGCACAATAAAGTAATCAAGTTTAAAATTTGTTTCATACGACAATGCTGTTTGCAAAGTGTTAAAATGTAATGCTTGTCAAACAGAATTACATCATAATGTTTTTCCTGTGAGATTCCAAACATTTATATAATCAGATGATTTAGTCATTCCATCATACACAAACAAGCAAAACAAAACCAGCCTACTGGAAATATGTTTTTCCTTGCCAAGAGGTATTAGGCAGCAAAACCAGACTAGGCATACAGTCAATTGTGCACTACTGAATCATATTAAAAGAATAATATTGTGTGACAATTCTATAATTTGAGTTCATGTCTATCACTCTAGCACTCTTTTCTTGATCAGCCTATTTCTATTTGTCGTTTCTAACATCTAAATCAGTTGTAACAGTTCTCATGATGGATAAGGGAATTTGGTTCTTCATGTTTCCTAAATAGCAGATTCCTTCCTGCTATTTTGTCACACAGAGATCCTGTGATTCTTACAAAAGCAGTTTGTAACAAGATGTATAATCTATGGTTTTTCCCATTTAAAATATAAAATTGTGACTGTGTATGTATACATAATATTTATACCTATAGAGTCTAATATTGTGTAAAGATAAAACAGACCTTGGCTTAGATATTTAGATACAATTAACAAAAAGATACAAGCATATTATAGAATTTATCAATAGTGTACATATGTTGAACAAATTGAATGAATAAGCTCACAAGAATAGAATAGAATAGAATAGAATAGAATAAATAGAATAGAATAGAATAGAATAGAATAGGAATAACAGAGTTGGATGGGATCTTGGAGGTCTTCTAGTCCAACCTCCTGCTTAGGCAGGAAACCCTATAGCATTTCAGACAAATGGTTATTCAATCTCTTCTTAAAAACTTCCAGTGTTAGTGCATTTATGATTAAAGCAGTTATGGTGCTCCTTGCATAATAGCAATAGGAATAGCACTTAGACTTATATATCACTTTATAGTGCTTTACAGCCCTCTCTAAGCGGTTTACAGAGTCAGCAAATTGCCCCCAACAATCTGGGTCATTTTACCCACCTCAGAAGGATGGAAGGCTGAGTCAACCTTGAGCCTGGTGGGATTTGATCTGCCAAATTTCAGGCAGCTGGCTGTCAGCAGAAGTAGTTTGCAGTACTGCACTCAAACCATTGTGCCACCAAGGCTCTTTGATTGACTGAACCAATTTCACACTAAACACAGTAAACTAATTGAAGAAACAAAATAATTGACTGTTCAAAGTTATGATAGTGCAAAATCAGGGGACTTACAACTATTTCTTGTACTTATGCCCTTCACAGCCTGCAGTCATGTGGTCACAATTCAAGGACTTGGAAACTGGCTTACAATTACAACAGTCAACAGCATCCTGCAGTCAGATGTTCGCCATTTACAACCTTCACTGCTGGCTCCTACAAGCAAAGTCAATGGGAAAGCCAGATGATATTGCAAATGGAGATCATGTGACCATAAGATGCTGCAGCCACGTGGGATTCATTTAATAATGGCACTGGAGCTGCTGCAACTGTAAAGACACAGGATTTTGTGCTTTATAAGTACATCGATTAGCAACAGAATTGCAGGTCCCAATTACTGTAGTTAGGCGAGTTAAATGATTCATGGCATTTGCATTTTAAATAATGTTTTTAACTATGAAATTAGTTGATTCAAATATTGTTGCAGGGACATAGCTTATATGATAGACAGATTAGTGATAATGTGAGCATTGAGTTCCATACTTATTCATGTTACCTGAAATATTTCTCACATTAAATTATGTTTTAATGAAACTCATAAGTTCAACTTCCCCCAAACAATAATACTAACTAAATCACATATCCTGCTTCACTAGAATTTAAGATTACAGTACAAGGCTGTTTTTTGTTCACAAAATCGTTATGGTAGAACATAGTCTTGAATCAAATGAATTAAAATTTGATGAGTTGTTTTTCCCCTGAAGAATATTTTTATGCCTGCCAAGATGTTACTGAGAACAGCAAAATCAATAACAAAAAATTGCTTCTGTAAGTATGACGCAGCTTATTTAGTTATTATTTATATACCAAACAAATTTGTATAGCTGTGCAAGTCACACTTCAGGTGAGTCCAGTAATCAATCGGCGTAAAAATCAATTGAGAATTGCTTGAGTGTCCAAAAGCAAATCAGGAAACACACCTGTTTTAAGACCCAAGTTTTTGTACAGTAGCATATAAGTGGTAACTTACACCATGAGCTCCTTGGATTGTGTGGACTAAGGTAAGCCCTTTCCAGACATAGACATCTCCATTTAAAGCACCAGAGAATGTAACGTCATCTTTTGCACAAGACAAACAGAGGATAGTTTGCAAGTCTCCTGTTTTGCCAAATATTCCTCTTTTGGCTGTCAAGGCATTTCCGCACAGTGTCCAAAACTATAAAATGACAAACAGAGTGTCTTCAGCATTTGCAATATGTGGCTGAATCATACCTTTAAGATGTATGAAAAACCCTTAGCAGTTTACATAGTTTAGGTCCCTGTTTATGTTGTTTATGATATTTACATCTAATTATTTAAATGAATTATCAGGATGGTTTCCATTATTAAAATGCATAAAACAAGTACTCAGAATATATGATAACATCATATGATAAAAGTATTCACTTAAAGGTTTTTTATTGCTTTTAAAATAAAAAAAAGAAAAGGAAACAAATCAAAATAATTGAGTATTAATAATAAAAATAATTTGTTTTTACAAGTTACAGTGAAGGTATACACAAGACCTTAGGATATTAGTAATCCTTTATTCCTTCTGTAATCCTAGTACCGAATGAAGTCCTTTCAACTGCAATCCACAGTGGCTGAAAGGATCAATGTATTTTAATAAATCCTTCATTTATGATAAAATCTACAGCACGTGCCCTTTGATCAGAATCAGGCCCAGAGCAGGAGACAAAGGATTACAAATTCTTGATTCTTCACTATACTAAGCAGTTTATTTAAACTATATGTAAGGTACTTTGAGACCAGCATACTGCATTGTAAATGTTGACCCTTTCCAAGAGACTTCTTACACTAGTTAATGTCAGACAGAGATGTAACCTCTTTTGGGATGATCTGTCTATACGTCCAACAGCAGGCATATTGCAGCTAAGCTTAGATCTTGACAGGGCCAATTTTGTGAACTAATTCACAGAAACATCTTAACCTTTAGCCCTCCTCCCACCTCCCTTCTGCATCTAGAAATTTTTGCCTCCTATCTACTTTTTTTTGCTCATTCAAGCCACCCACCACCAAGTGTATTAAATTACCCCTTATGCATATACCTGTTTCCCAAGTAACCTTGGGATTACATGTTGTGACCTATATAATTGTCCTATCACATGTCAAACACCTACTGTAATTGACATTCGGGTTGTAATGTAATTTCCCTCCCATGGTAGTTTATTTCATTTCTTGTTATGGTTTCCCCTCTACTTCTGAGGCAGCTAACAGAAATACACAATTCATAGACATATTTTGGAAAGCCGTTTCAGTTATTAGATGTTAAGCTCCTGCTCTCTTCTATTCATCATTTGCAATTGGATGTTGAAATAAAAGACAAATGCCATTCTGGAGCAATATTCTTCCATGAAATATTAAATGTGTTTATGTCAATAATTGAGAAATAGCTGTTTCAGATCAACTATATTTACCACCCATGCCTATAGCTACATGCTTCCTGGTTCTCCCTCATTCCAGACACACCCAGCACTCTTTAAAATCAAAGATTATCTGGCTCTTGCCAAGGCCTCATGCCAGCACTGTGGAGATCAAGCCCTATCCCAAGGGTCTTCAAACTTGACAGCTTTAAGACTTGTGGACTCCAACTCCCAAAATTCCTCCTCCAGTCATGTTAGCTCAAGAATTCTGGGAGTTGAAGTCCACAACTCTTAAACTTGCCAAGTTTGAAGACCCTTGCCCTATCCCTTTGAAGATCATATTTAGCCTTCTATCAAATCTTCCTCCTCCACATGGGCTGCCTAAAGAGTTGAACATCAAGTTTATTGGACTATTTTCCATAGTTACATAGACCATTCCTTTGCTTTCATCAGAGGCTCCCAATCACAGTGAAAACGGATGTCGATCCATTGTACCTTAATGGTCCTGGAATGTCTTCCTGCCCCCTTGTACAACTTTGTTCCACTACCTTCAGTGTTAGTGAAATAGTAAGTTGAGATTGAATGTTTTTTGGGCTCTTGGCATAGAAGGAACAGACTAAGCTCTTTGATTTGCTAACGTGGTTGCCCAAATATCAAATGATACACAAATGCTTCGCCTCCTTTGACAGCACCAATTGCTCCCAAAGCCAAAAGCACTGTGGATATTTAGAGACTCCTTTGATCATTTTCTGAGATTGGTAAGTTAGTGACTATAATTGCACTTGCTTTAATATTGTTAAAATTCTAGAGTTGAAAGGCATCTTGGAAGTGTTCCAGTCCAAACCCCTACTCAAGGTACAGATCCTTATACAATCCCAAACAAATGGCTGTCCAGCTTTTTGCCTGAAAACATCAATACATTTAGATTTAGAGTGACAAATTTAATTTTTTAAATTTTATTAAATGATACATCAATTTCTAAAATCAGCGTTGCATCATCACAATACAAACTCCCTTCATTTGTAAGTGTGTGCGATGTCATATATACAGAATGGAACCAGCTTGTGGTGCAAAGCTTATTTTGTGATGTACTTCTCCTGTGGACATCTCTGCTTGTACAGCTACTTTATTTTTAATAGGTAGAAATGAATTATTGCTTTTAGTTAGATGTGTCTATGGAGATTCTCGGTCATCCTGATCATGGTTGTCCCAAACATGCTGTTTCAAAAGGCAACTAGACTTTGTTTTTCTTTGAAGCTATTTCACTTTTCATCCAAACAGCTTCTTCAGTTCTGACTGAATGGTGGAGGATGGAAGGCTTTATATTCCTTGCTGTCATCTGGTTATTAGCACTCTTTCTGAGAGTCGTTGAGGCCACTTGGAAGTTTATCTGTACTCTCAGGGTCACATGAATAATGCAAATGGGTATGGAACCTTTGGTGGAACTACTAAAATAATTGTGTTGTAAATAGGAAATAGGTGGTGCGGTATTTATCCTCCCTCTGTTGAAAGAGAACTGTTCAATCTTAATGTAGATAGCCTCTTTGACCCCTCTTTCAAATCAGCGGTCTTCTTTGTCCAAGGATGAGAAGGAAAAACAAAGTCCATCTCTCTTTCCCTCTCCCTTTCCCCCCTCCTCGGATAGCAATGACAAATATAGCCAATTAACATCAACTCCTTAGTGTAGGAGACTCCCTACACTAAGTTTAACTAGTGTTCCTCAAACTAGGCAATGTTAAGATGTGTGGACTGGCTGAGGAATACTAGGAAGTGAAGTCCACACATTTTAAAGTTGCTTAGTTGAGAAATACTGCTTTAATGTCTATTAACCCTGGTAGCCAATAAGATAAGAAGACGCAATGGAATAATGTTTGTAACCATTAATTTTCCAACAATGCCTTTCAAATACCTGGAGATTTCTTACAAAGTATTGTTTTGTTAGCTTTGCTTTTCACAATTTCATTATTAAACAAAACCAAATCTTTTAAAATGTGTTAAACTTCGGCTCAGTGAATGTTAGTCTTCTGCTTTTCAGTGATTTTACTCTGTAAAAGACTGATTTGCTAGTTTTTTGTTGTATTTTTCTGATTTAGATATTTTGCAAATGTGGAGTCCTTGCTCCCCTCTGAGTTTGATTGCTTTCTCTTCTACTAGTGTTTTGCAATTCTTACAATGCAAGCCACCTTGCACATCATTTCATTATTGACTTCACTTATGCAATATATTTGGCCATTTATTAAGAGTAACCTATATAAAAGAAATAGTGAAATTTCTTTCCTAATCTAATGAGGAAAGCCTTTCCAAACAGAAAAATAGCTTTTTTTTTTTTCAATATAGAAAAAGGCTTGGAAATTTTTATAAGTGACACCTACTAAGCACACACACAAACATATATAAAGTATTAGACATTGGAAAATTTATTGAACTTTTTAAAAAATCATGTCATATATCTAGAGCTAAATATCTTTAGAACTAAAAAAGAGCTGTTGAGTGAACCAACTGACAGATTTATTTATATATATATTTAGTATATAAATGTCATCTATTTATACCTATTTAAGATCTCTTTATCAGTCTACATGAATATATATGTGAATTTTATTTCTAATATGCATATTAAATATTAGCAAAATAGCATTTATTTTGTTGCAGTTATTACAGAACTAATTATTTAATCAAGGCAAATTTCCTCATTTTAAAATGTCATTCAGAAAAAGATATAAAGCTGTAAGTATCCAAAATTTTCAATAACCAATTTAGCAACTAGCAGTTAACTGAATTTTATACTACATCAATATACATGCTTTTGTTTATTAAAATAACCACATGAATGATGTGATTTTTTAAGCTGCACATCTCTTTTTTCTGTAATCAGATGATTACAGAATAATTCAATAAATTAGGGTTAAATTTAATTCTGAGTTAAAATGCAGCAACATCTTGCAGTTAATGACTTGATTCACATAAACTATCATTTTTTTTTCAATCATAATTTGTTAACAAATTACAATTTTATTAACTAAAAATTCATAGTCATTAGAATAGAAGCAGAATTCACACACGCTTAAATGACATCAGTCAGAAATGAAAACTGTCAAGCACAAACAACCAGGTCCACATGCAAAGAGTTCAAAAGTACTGATTTACTGCTCAAGCCTATGTAAAGGAATCTTTGTGGCAACCCTGATATCTCAAAGATGGCGTCAGCCAAGTTCATGAACCTGGCTGACGCCATCTTTGAGACTTCAGGGTTGCCACTTTGGGGACTAACACCTGTGTAAAACTAGCATCTGGGTAAAACTTGAGAAGGTTCAAAGGCATTCAGGGCGGGGGGGAGAAGGTGTACTTCATCCTCTTGTGACTATGTAGAGACTCTAAACCAATTCCTCACTTGACTCCTCCAGTTTAGTCTAGTTAGAATTGGATATAGGGGCATTAAGCTAGTGTGATCAAACTAAATCAAAAGAGTTTTTTTCCTAAATAAGTGTGCAAAGAATTACACTGTTTAAATGGATGGAGACATTGGAAACACTTTAAAGTGGGTGGTGAGGACCAAAAAAAATATATTAGTTTTAAAATCTTTCTTCAAAAATAAATAATTATTTAAAGTAAAAATGTTCATGTAGCATCAAAATAAATCATTAATTGCCTTATACAGTGTTTAATTATGAAAAATATTTGGCATACTTTTGTTATATCTTGGTGTTCACTAAAATGACATTACATGTGTACAAATTAGAGATGAGGGCTTGTCAAAAAGATTATGTATCCTGAAAGAAAATGAAATTTATTCATAGTTTATAACAACCCCTCATCTCTAGTGTGGACACAAAGTTAGAAATATATGAACATAATAATATAATCAAGTTATAATAGAACAGAATACTCACAATTGAGTATTTAATTGAAATATTATGATCATGAAGTATAGGATGAAAGTGCAGGGATGAAGTGCAGGATAAACAAGAATTCTAATAAGATATGGAATTTTTTGTTTTTAATCACTAATGTACATATTACATTTAAGAGTCTAATTTAGAAAAACTTTATTCTAAATAATGAGTTTGTAGCATGACACCATGTTATAACTCCCAATAGCATAGTTAGCATGTACTGTACTTCAGCAACTTTTACTTGTTTTCCTCTGTTCTAAATGAATCTATTTTGATTAAAAACATGGGGGAGACCTATACATATTTGAAACTCACACCATATGTCCCTTCTACTTATCCTGATTACCTATTTCTCTCTGCAGCAACTCTATGTGTTAGGAATTTACCTACTAACTTGCATTGGCTATACTAACTTGTATACTAACTTGTAGAGCTTAAAAGAAGTTAGTAAGAGAAAATGTGTCAAATAAATATAACATTTTTCTCCACTGATAATGCAAAGCATCAAAACCAATTTACCTTGATATGTTATGTTACCTTGATATGTTTCACTCCGCAGCTAGCCACTCGGTTAGGTTGATATGGATCCCAGGAAATATCAAAAATCTGTCAAAACATATTCAAAACTGCTACACTAAATTAAAAACCAAATGCATTAAATCCTAGAAATGTCTATTTTTCTCACATAATTTCAACAAAGTTCTATAGCTCTATTAGCAAGATTGTTAATACCATAGTTACATCATAGCTCATAATTTTTTTTTATAGAAGACAAATGCATTTGAAAAGTAGTCAGCAAAACAAACATTTTACAAGGTTAATTATACATTTGCCTTTAATTTACGGTATTTGTATATATAATAGGAATGTTAACAATTATAGGTAAATATTAATGAATACCAAATTGTACAGACCTAAAGAAAATAGATGGGATTTAAAATAAACAGTATTGTTATAAAAGATTGTCCATATTTATTAGACCTTGCTGTAAGAGTGTATAGACACTCTTGAAAAAACTGGTTTTACACTATTTTTCTTACATACCTATTACTATTGAATTGACCCACCCAGAAAATTATACAAATATTTGTACTTTGCATAATTTAAATTGATATCAGAATCATTCAATACTGATTGCAACTTTAGCCTGTCACATTCTCAAACAGTTGGGGATTGCTTCAAAATTCCATTTTAATTTCCTAAAATAATCACCACAGTAAACCAAAGAGATGTAATGGGAGTCTCATGAAAGGAACTTTTGCAAAGAGCTCCTTCAGCATTATATACATGAATAAACCCATAGTGATGGACAAGCTGACTTTCAGGGAAATTATCAATCAGTAAATCTTTTCAAAGAGGCAATATTGTGCCACTTTTTACAATATCACAGATGCAATTTAAAAAACAGGTTAAATCTCTCAAGCGGTCCAAAACTGCTAAGATTTTTGCAATCTCACCCTCATAAACCTTACACATTAATGCACGAAACCATGTGTGATATTCAATAATCAACTCTCACAATGCATTTTTTTATTTCCATTCAATCATGTCTGATTCTCAATGGCTACCCAAGTTTTTCAGAAGTGGTTGGGTGAGAGAAAGTGACTGGCCCAAGGTTACCCAGCTGGCTTTGCATCCAAGGTGAGAACAGAATTCAGTCTCCTGGTTTCTAGCCTGTTACTTTCCCAACTATGCCAAACTTTTCTCTTTCTGTTCTAAGTGATACTTTATGCGAAGGAAGCCTGGTATGTTGGATATGACAACATACACCCATGAAAATGTACATTTTAATTACTATTTATGGAATAGATATACTCCACAAGTAAAAATTTTCAGAGCTATTGCATTATTGTTGTGATCACCCTCCAGTTCAAACATCTATAAGGTAAAAGAAGAGGTGCTCAGAGGGGGAAGTTTAAGTTTCCCTATTTTATTACTTGACCACAACATTCCAGGTTTCTTTCAGTCCATGAAGCAAAAAAGAGAAGGTGGAATCCATTTATCCATATCATAGGTTATATTTTTCTTCAATAGGCTGGTAACGACTTGGAAGTAAAATGTATGAAACCAAAAAGTGAATTAAACTAAGATAGGATATGATATTAACCTTTTACAATCAAATTAGTAGCCTAGCCAACTGTTTTCAGTAAAATAACAGAAGCATCAAATCACTCCAAATGATGTTTGGTTCTCAGTGACATAATCCAGGCAAAAATCCTAATTGTTAAATTACCCCTCCATTATATGAAATAACACCATTTCCCATAAAGAATTTTACAAGCTAATTTGTATTCTTGATACAAACAAAAGACACACTCATACAACATTACAAGAGAAATATATGGCAAATTCATTAGCTGATTACCCTATCTGAGTGGCCAGTAGCTGATGCCAGTAGTTTTCCTTTCTTCCAATCCCAAATGCAGACTGTGTTTTTGGCATCCAACCCCACTGAAGATAAACGCTTAGGAAAAATAATACACAACAGTTTTTAAATGAATATCAGTTCAGGAGTAACTTACTACAATACATCAATGCATAAAGGGGTTGAAAAGAGATGCTGAAAGCGTTGTATAGACAATGCTGAAAGATTCAAATGCATTATAGGTTTCACTATTCAGCACAAATATTCCTTCCTTCCAAATATGCTTGTAAATGGAATTTAACGTGTTTCAGAACAATCTATAGCATCTTCCTTTTGTTAATTTCATATTTTAGAAACACATGGCAACAGACATAATACATCTTGCTTTGCTAATGTAAAAAATAAAAGCCTTAAAACAAGCCATCCGCCCAAGCAAACAGAATCTGGATATGCAATCTTTAATAACACTTTGTGAACCAAAATAACAACAAACTGAAAGACAACTGGATCTCTCATGCAGGAAGATAATTTCTCTTTTTCAAAAAATGGACAGTTGAATATGTCACCAACCTCTTGGGAATTTTTTTTAATTTCTGGTAGAAGATTCTTTAGTTGAATCAAGCCACTGGTCTAAACTAGCTCAGTAATGTCAGAACTACTGCTTCAAAGAACAATCTCTCTCTCACACGTTTCTTTCAGCTGTGAGACAGGCACTTAAAATCAACCTGACTTGCAATGGTCTATGGTCTATATACTGCTGTTCTTTCCCTGCTATCACTGTCAGGCTGAATTTTCACCAAGTATTCAATGCTGATACTTTTAGAACTGTTGAAAATGTCACCAACCATTAATGATGCAAAATTAAAACAAGTGAAATTTTAAAATGTTTTACTGGTATAGTATTTCACTGTTGGGCAATGTTGAGCTTTAATGACCATAGGTTAGACAGCAAAGTCCCTGAAATTTCACCAGTACCTTCACCAGCATATTTGAAGATAAAATGACAACTAAGGAAGGACTGTTTGGATTCCTGTTTTTATTAGTCTTTAGATGAACTGGTTTTCTATTGGTGTAGGTTGGTGAGGGCTGGTCTCTGATTGGTTCTTTCTTTGTGCCTGATCCTGACTGATATTTTGGAGGGATTGGAACCTGATTGCTTTATTTCTGAAATGTGACATCAAGTAAACATGATTATACCCTTTGGCTAAGCTCTAAACTAATCTTGTTCTAATAGTATATTGGAAAAAATAAATTCTTCGTATTTTACATCTAATCTGTATTACAAGCTTCTTTTTATGTTCTTAACCCCTCTTATCAGGAAAATAAATTTACATGTAGATTACTCTAGGTTATCTTGTTGCTACCACATAAGTTTAAGTAAGCAAACATTTTATAAATATTACTCCTCCCAAAGGATTATCAGAAAATTGTAACACTCTTGTTTTATAAGAGGAGACTGCTTCAAAAACAGGGGAATGGATATTTTGGCTCCACTCTACTAGAGCATTAAGTACAACAGAAATATAAACTCAGTAAATACACACCTGGCCATCTGAATCAAAAGCCAAGCAGGCAACTCCGTGGGTATGTGCATCTTTTAGGACAGAGACAGCCTGTACATTATAGGAATCCCAGATGCAGATATAAGGATCCTTGCCAACTTGTCCTGTAGCAACAAGGGTTTTATCAGGATGCAAAGCTAGGCTGGAATAGAGTTCAAAAGTTAGAGTTTGTTATCACATTTTTGATTATTGTGCAGATGTTCAGTGATGTTTTTACAATTATTCTGCTACTATATAAATTCATTTTCTGTTCATATGCAGGTAAAACATTGCAACTTTTTTTGCCTTCTAATGAATGTATTCCAACTGACATTTCATTTTCAAAAGATTACTGTAACTTGGACTCTCTAAGTGCAAACTGGGTTCTAGTCTGGTTTGCACTATTCCTCTACTCATGTATAATAAGTGGGATATAAGTTTCCACATGAATTATATGATTGAGGTATTTAATATAATCTTGTAATTTCTGAAGTCCTAGTCAAGCCTATTTTTCCATCATTTAATAATCTTTGACTGCTTCATATATGTTTTTCAAATGATGTTTAATAACACAGAGGGTGTAGATACACCCTATATGGTTTTTAGACAATGACATTTCTGAACTGGCATACTGTAGAAAACAAAAGTAATGTTCAGGTATACTTCCTTATAATTTTCTTCTCACAATAAATTACAAAATAAAAAATGGATGTAAATGTGTGTTTATTATGCATAGAAATTCTTCAAAATGTCAAAGCTTATTAAATAATGCTACTCAATGTCATAGGTTTTGAAAATAATGTTTGTAAAGTTATGTTGAAAGTGAAATTTATGGATATTTTAAACAATATATTATAGAATAAACTCACTTGACAGCAGGGGAAAAAAATCCAAAAGCATTTTTTATGAATAGAAATATTTGAGTCTATTAATTTTCTATTCCTTATGTTACTTACAAAGAGCTATATGTGAAATCACAATTCATATTTCATTGAGAAAAGTAGTGCTCTTTTCCTAAAAATAACACTGATCTTTTAAGTGTGCATTTTCAAATGAAAAAACAGTAATATATTTATCATGAATAATTTATCATTTAAAATGCCCTTCCTCAACATATATTTCCTTCAAAAGGAACATATACTCACACTTATTATATTTATTATGTTCATCTGAACAACATTGAGTTATCACCTATTAAAATAGTTGTTTCTTGAAAATATGTGAGAATCTATGTGAGAGTCCAGGCTAGTTTTATGAGAGCAGCAAGAAAGCAAAATTATTTTGAAATGTGATAGTTAGCAATTCTATATTCCAATATTATATAGCAAAACATGTAATAAAACTGCTGCAATACAAGTCAATTCTATTAATGCAGTTTTATGTCATTTCCATACTAGTAATTGCTAGCATCTTTATAGCAACACTCAGCCATTGTTTAAGCAATATAAAATAATGATTGGGTGACTTTAGAACTGTGATGGAGAACCTATGGCACATGTAACAGAAGTGGCACGCAAAGCCATTTTCTGCCGGCACACGAGAGGTCACAGAAGAGCCCCACTGCGCATGTGTGCATGCCCCCCCACCAGTCAGCTGATTGTCAGGTATCTGCCGCTAAGTGTGGGGGGAGATGCGCATGTGGGAGAGGCATGCACATGTGCAGGGCGTGGCGTGCACATGCACAGAGGCACGCGGTGCATGGGGGTCGCATGTGCAGAGGCACACGATGCATGTGCAGGGGGGCGGAGATCACACGTGCATTGCATCATGGCTGCAGGCATGCGAGCGTGCAGGCAAACACATTTTCGGCACGCAACATGGAAAAGGTTAGCCAACACTGCTATAGAAGATGATATAAATTGCTAGTGAAAAAATATCACCTCAGATTGAAACCTCATATATCCATACATCATACACAGAGCTTATGCAATGTTCAGGAAAATGAAGATTTTTCTTTCTCTATGTCTATGAAGAAATTAAGGTGATTGAAATGAGATTGAAATTTACTGTTCTATTATGGGTGAAGGAAGACGCACAGCCTAAGGTAACAGTCCAACTTGTTTATTCAGCTAACAGTGAGAACAGAACTGCTGAACCTGTCTGACAGTTCCCCTTTTATAGGGACTGTCAGACGAACCAACCAATCACATTTAAGAGATTTTCCCGCCTAAACTGCGGACCTGAGTGAAAACTTCAGTTATACTAAAAACACAACACCCATCCCTTCTGAATTTGAACTGTAACTAATGAACAACAACATCACTTAACATAGTCGTGCAAGTAGACGGGGCTTCTATGCATCTACTCTGACCTGCGCAAATCATTTGGGAGTGAGACAGTGGTCAGACCTGTTGGGTCTGCTGCTGCTTCTTGTTCCGCCCCTGGAACCTGCAGGAACTCCCCTTGGGATGTGTTTACTTATTCTAGAGTTGACTCACAGTAGCCTTGCTGCTGGTCTCCAGCTTCCCCAGGTATGTGTGGCTGTGGATTCTCTGAGTTTGAGGCCGCTGTAATGGGGAATTTGAGGACTTTATTATTCTCTATTGGAAGGTTGTTTTTGTGTTGGGTTTCCCTATTCTCCCCCTTAATTGGTTGATATGTCTCTGCCATATTCAGCTGTCCTCTAATTCCACTTTGTAAGATCTAGGGCTCGTGATGGCTATTATTTGTCCTGGAATCCAGAGGGAACCTTCCATGTAATTTTGTGCATACACCCCATCCCCTATTTTGAATTCCCTAACTCTGCTGGTGGAGTCAGCAGGTTTCTCATTGGAGTAGTTGGGGTGCAGTCTATCTAGCCTAGTTCTCAGTTTCCTCCCCATCAATAACTTGGAGGGGCCTTTATGTGTGGTTGCATTGGGTGTGACATGTTGTATTAATAGAAAAGTGTCTATACGCGTTTGCCAGTCTCCCGGCCCCATTCTTGCTAAAGCCTCTTTCGTGGTTCTCACCATTCTCTCTGCTTGGCCATTCGCCAAGGGGTAAAATGGTGCTGTTAGTGCGTGGCGAATGCCCAATTCCGCTAGGAACATCTCAGATTGGGTGGAGGGAAATTGAGGCCCATTATTGGAGACTAGGACATCCGGTAGGCCGTGTGTCACGAATAGTTTCCTTAGGACTTTAATCATGGCCTCAGTTGTTGTAGAGTGCATCAGTATAATTTCTAGCCATTTTGAATATACGTCCACAACTACCATAAACGTTTGCCCATGGAACGGTCCCCCAAAGTCTATATGAATCCTAGCCCATGGGGATTTTAGGGATTCCCATTCCTGGGGTTGCACTGTCGGCGGTGTGGGCCTTGATTCTTGACAGTTCTTATAGGTTCCTACCCATTCTGTGATATCTTTATCTATATTGGGCCACCACACATAACTTCTAGCTAATGTTTTCATCTTAACTATTCCCGGGTGACCCATATGCAATAATTCTAAAATTTGTTTCTGTAATTTTGGTTGAACAATAACACACTCCCCCCATAACAAACACCCCTTGATTGCTAATAATTCATGTTGTCGGTTATAGAATGGTTTCAACTCTCCCGATACTGGCCCGTTAGGCCATCCCCTCTCAACCCAACTCAGTATTTGCCCTAAGGTTTTGTCCTTTGCTGAAAAATGAGCAATCTCTATCACGGAGATCAGCCTGGGTAAGTCCTCAATGAGGAGTACGGTTACTGCTGGAGCTGGGTCTTGCGCTGTTTCCAGCAATGGACAACGGCTGAGTGTGTCTGCATGCCCCAGGGATTTTCCTGGGTGGTAGATCAGTTTATAATTATAGGCAGCTAGAAACATTGTCCATTTTGTGAGTTGAGGGGATAGAATAGTCAAAGTGGGTAGGTCTCTGGCGAGTAGTCCTAGCAGCGGTTTGTGGTCGGTAATGAGTTGAAAGTGTCTGCCATACAAATATTCATGGAACCTTTTAATGCCAGCTATTGTGGCCAATGCTTCATCTAATTGGCTGTAGTTTCTTTCTGCCCTGAGAGAGTCCTGGAGTAAAACTCTATAGGAGCCTCAGTGCCATTCGGCATGTGGTGGCTTAGGACAGCCCCGACCCTGAAAGGGGAGGCACTGCAAGTGAGGGTGACAGGCAAAGTTTCAGAGTATTGGACTAGGATGCTGTCTGAGAACAACAGTTTTTTGACAGCCGCGAAAGCGGCGGCTTCCCATTTCCCCTAAATCCATTTAACCTGTTCTCCCAGGAGTTCATGTAAGGGTTCCACTATAGTGGCTTTTCTTGGGAGAAAAATACTATAAAAATTGAGGAGACCTAAAAATGCTTGTAGCTCAGTTTGATTTTTTGGGAGTAGGTGCTTCCTGGATAGCCTTAATTTTTTCTGCAGTCAGGTGGATCCCTGAGCCATCTATTAGGTATCCTAAAAATTCGACCCTGGGGACTCCGAATTTGCATTTTTCTCATTTAACTTTTAATCCTGATTCTCGGAATTTAGTTAGTACTTCCCTTAGCCTGGTTAGCAATTCGTCTTTATTTTTTGCAGTTATTAAAACATCATCAAAATATGGGACAACTCCCTGAATTCCCAGTAGGTGGTGCTCCATGAGGTTTTGAAAGATGCCTGGAGCCACACTGACACCGAATTGAAGCTGGCAACATTTAAAGGCACCCCTATGGGTTAAAATGGTTTGGTCCTCAGCCGTGGCATCAACTGGGAGTTGTTGGTATGCCTGCGTCAGGTCTAATTTGGTGAAAATTTTACCTTTCCCCAATGAGTGCAATAAGTGCTGCGCTATGGGGATGGGATAAGCATTTTGTTGAAGGGCCTTATTTAGGGTACACTTGTAATCCACACAGATGTGGACTGATCCATCTGCCTTTATAGGGGTGACAATAGGGGTTTCCCATTTCGCATGGTCTACCAGTTCTAATATCCCTTGCGTGATTAATTTGTCAAGCTGTTTTTCTATTTTTGGCTTAAGCGTGAATGGTACTCTGTGCAGTTTGAGTCGGATTGGGGCAACCTGGGGGGTCAAGGTTAAATGAAATAGGGATGCCCACATACTTGCTCAAATTGTCATCAGAAACGTCCTCAAATGCCTTGATCAGTTCTTTGATGCTGTCATCTGGTATCGCATGGACACCAGTCACCCCCAGTCCCAATGCTTCAAACCAGTCTAGTCCAAGGAGGCTGTGTAATTTGCCTTT